CGCCTTAGTCCTCGCAAACATCCACATGGCAATTCAGCGAAGGACAAAAGGCCAACTGCTGAGGGACAGAGCCTGAGGCAACATCTCAGGGGAGCCTGACCTGAAGGCACCGCAGCCTAGCGCGCGCGCTCGGAGTTTGGTGCCAATAACGATGGTGTACTGCCCCTTTTGTTCCTTCAAGAGGTGAGGCAGACAGAATCTCCAGGGAACTTGTTAGTCTGAACCCTGCACCTGCAAAAGTGTGCTATATTAATGATGTCACAGAATGTATGCATGGGAGCCTGGGACCCTTCTTGTGTTCTAACGCCTCCCCAACCATGCACGCACGAATTTAGAAAAAGTTTCCTCAGCAAGTAAGACCCTGATTAACGGGAGAACGTCAAAAATCAGCCACGACATTAGGATTAGTGTAGGAGGGCAGGGTGCCCACTGCAACAAAAGTTTCAGTTTCCTCTCCCATAACTAACTATTGACCTGTCAGGTTGGTTTTCCCAGAAATGGTGCCTTTCTCCTGCACAAGAGAGCTTGAGATTCTGAAGACCCCTCCCGGGCGCCGCCAACACCCACCAGGCCGAGTGAGCTCCCGGGACACACCAGGACTGCCCAGAGGTGCAAGAAAAGAAAACGTTTAGCCAGGCAGAGTGGCGCCCCTGTAGTCCCCGCCACTCAGGAGGCTGAGGTGGGAGGATCCCTTGAGCCCAGGAGTCTGAGACCAGCCCAGGCAACATAGCGAGGCTCTGTCTCTAAACAACAAAAAGAAAAGAAAAAAATCAGAACAACGTCTCACTATGCAGGGTAAAATGCCACCTGACACCAAAGAGGACACTGCCTCACTAGTCTCTGGAGTAAAACAAGTTGGCTGTTTTCAGAGCTCAGGTTTGAATGGGACTGTTCTTAATCCTTTCTGGTAGATACTGTCAACGGGGGAAAAAAAGTCAAACTCTGTAAAATAATTTTAAAAAGATTTACTCTGAGCCAAATTTGAGGACCATGACCCAGAGCCACGCCCAAGAAGCCTTGAGCAAGTGGACTTGCTGTGGCTGGGTGACAGTTTGGATTTTTTATACATTTCAGGGAGACAGGAGTTACAGGTAAGGTCATCAATCAACACGTGGGAGGCATACGTTGGTTTGGCCCGAAAAGGCGGGCCATCTCGAAGCAGAGGCTCACAGGTTACAGGTGGGTTTAGAGATTCTTTGGCTTGTAATTGGGTAAAGATATGAAGCTTTGTCTAAAGGCTTGGAATGTTTCAACATAAGGAGCTGTTATCAGAGACAAGCCACCTGACACAGATTTGTTGTGTAAATTGAGGACCCGCAGGTGTGTCTTGCAAAACCTTAGGCCTGTTCATGGGTTACAAAGGACGTTGCCAAGAAGGGAGGGGGCACAATGAGGCATGTCTGACCTCCCTCCTCCTGGCAGGCAATTTAGTTTTAGGGTATTCCTTTGGCCACGAGGGGGTCCATTCAGTCAGCCAGTGGGGGCAGGGGGTGAGCCTTAAAATGTTATTTTAGTTCACAACACACACTGAAGTCTCAAGAAAACTTCGTTTCACATCTTTTGTTCCACCCCGTGTCCAGCAGTTCCCCGCAGCTCACCACCTGTCTGTTAGCCTAAGGAGCCACTCGGGAGGAGGGTCCTTTGCAACCTGCCAAAAGTCAGCCCTGCCGTGTTCCAGGGCAAGCTGACTCCGCCCCACTGTGCCACGGTGCAGAGCGGCAAATGTATCCTTCTTACAAGTTCGGGCCCAGGAGCCACTTACTGTGTTACTATTCGTATTGGCAAGACAGTGAGAGACAATCACACACAGAATGGTATGGAGAGATTTAATGGTTCATGTCACTGAATTTAATCCATGTTTTTTTTTGTTGTGTTTTGAGACAGAGTCTCGCTTTGTTGTCCAGGCTAGAGTGAGTGCCATGGCGTCAGCCTAGCTCACAGCAGCCTCAAACTCCTGGGCTCAAGCGATCCTCCTGCCTCAGCTCCCAGTAGCTGGACTACAGGCATGCGCCCCATGCCCAGCTCATTTTTCTATATGTATTAGTTGCCAATTACTTTCTTTCTATTTATA